TAGTCACACTGTAGGTTCCCATTCCTCCTAGGCCTTGCATTGGAGGTGTTGACTGATATCATAGCACTGGATTCTCCATCCATAGGTGCACTCCCCTAGGATTCCACTTTGCACTCCTAAGTTATTATTCAATCTTTGGCTTTCTTCCCGGATTAGCATCAAATAAGCTTGATCAATTATAGGCGTAGGATTCATCATCAGGATTTGGCTCCTTTGTGGAGCATATATGTCATTCAGTCCCATTAGAAACTTCATCAAATTTTGTTGGCGTAAAAACTCAACAAATTCTCTAGATTTTACACAATCGCACCTAGGAAATGGTATAATCGACTCAAACTCAGCCCAGAGATCATTTAACCTTGAATAATAGATTGAGACACTTGATATTCCTTGAGTCAAACTGCTAATCTCTCTGTTCATGTGATACACCTTAGTAGCGTTTACTTTGTCAAACTTTTCTCTAAATGCTTTCCAAACCTTTTGTGCATTTGAGAAGTAAACAATTCCTTTCCTAAGCTCCTGAGTCACTGAACTCATGATCCACGACTGTACAATGGCGTTACATCGATCCCACTGGTGCAACCTAAACGAATCTGCTCCATACTTCTCCCTAGTACAGGTTTCGTCAATGAAACCTATTTTGTTCTTCACCAAAAGCGACATTTTCATAGAGCGACTCCATTCTGAGTAGTTTTCTGCTCCGACCAGCAATTGAGGAACCAACACAACCCCCGACGTGTCTGAGGGATGAACAAACAACGGGTCGTTGCAATCGATCAATTGAGCGCTTGCATGTGAAGTTCCGACTCCAATTTGGGAAGAATCACTCGTCATTGTAGTTGAATTCATTATTAGTCAGAAATTAGGGTTAGGATGAAAATCGAAGAAGAGAAAACTTGATTTGGGAAAATTGAGAGTAACTTGAAGCTTAAGATTACAGATCGTACTCGACCCGCTCTGATACCATGTCAAAAGTAACCTAGATCTGCCATGGTAATGGAGGCAAGGTCTAGGAGAAGAAAAGAGAAAATATAGAGTGAGAGACAAATGATCGTAGAGAGAGAAAAATATGAACTGTATTTCTTATCTTATGTCTCCAGTGTACAAAATGTATTTGATATATACAAGTTATATCAATATGTCTTAATTAGCCAACTAATAGATGTATCTAGAAGAGTACATATTAAATAACACAATGTACAAGATGCCTCAACTTCATTTTATATCTCTACATATACTAGTCCATAGTACGCGCGTTGCGTGTGTACCCATATCAATATATATAAAAATATAAAAAATTATATGAATAATATTATTAAATAATATATTTATATTATAAAATAAAAATTAAATAAAAATATAAGTTCTTAAAAATAATTAATGTTGATCTTATTAATTAGTTAGCTCAATCAAGAAATAAATCATGTCCCACAAAAGTCATTGGTTGCCTTAATAATTATTTTGATGTATGAGTTTCATATCCAAATTCATCAAGATAAATAAAATGTTTTTATTTGTTTGATATTGTTTTAACGTAACTGTTTCAATATTGTCTTAATATAAATTTAATTATATTTCATTCAAAATATATTCGAGTTTTAATTAAGCATTATTTCGATTCCCTAGTATAAATAGAATTAAGGTTCATTTTTAAAGAAAAACAAATAAAGAAAAGTAACGTGGAAAACTCCTAAATATTAGGATTGGGCAAAAGTACTGTGAAATAAATTATATGATTACATTTGATAGATCAAATAAGAATTGAATCTATAATAAAATTATTATTGATTTTATATCTTAAATATTGTAGGATTTTTTTACCTAGTTCAAGTAAGAAATATTTTATAACCTAAATTTTAGTTGATTTAAAATACTAAATATTAGGAACATATTTTAAATTACAATTTTGTCCAATATGAAATCTATTTTTAAAGGATAAAAAATACAAACTACATTTTGTTAAGGGTCTTCGTACTTTTAATATAGTACTAGTCTCAGGGTACGCGCTTTGCGCGTGTACCCCATCTCAATAAGTATAAAATTTTAAAATATTATATAAATACTATTGACTATGTATATTTGACGTGCAATTATTTAGTATCGTTTCAAAATTATTTCTAAAATTTGATGTTGAGATAAAGGGTATAATAATTGCGGATATTGAAATAATTTATTCTAATTTTAGTATTTATTAGAATGTTTATTTATATTTTTGTACATAAACTTTCTGGAAGGAGCATTTGACTAAAGAGCAATAGACATGTTATTATATACCCAGATAATCAAATATAATCTTTACAAAACTTCCTCAATTTTTTTTATTTTACTAATATAATTAAATTATATAAAAAAAAATGGGTCTTAACTCTATAACCGATTATAAATCTATAATCTATCTTTACTATTATAAAACTATTATAAAATTATTTAATAATATTTAGGACTTGAAAATTAAATAACTTTTTTCTTATTAAATATATTTCCTAAATTCGAACCATGTAGATATTCTAATATTTAGAACTTTAAAATTAATTAAAATTTTAACTATTATAAATTCTTATATTATTTGAACTGTGTAACGTAACTATAATATCTTTCGTGTTAAATATAAAAATACATATATTGTTTCTTCCTATTGAAAATCTGGAAACAAATTTATATATATACTAAGAGTTTCGTGAAAAATAATTCTACTTATATAATATATTTTAAAATTCGAAAACAATTAAATTGAATTCTTATGCTAATTAATTCATTCAAACACTTAATTATTTGTTCTCAATGTTGAAGAAAATAAATTTTTTATTCAATTTCTTACTGTTAGCTCATCTCTTTATTATAAATATTTATCGTAATTATTTTTATCCGATAAGAATTAAATTGGATTAGAAAATAATACTAATTAGTGTGATTTTAATTCTTTTTGTTTTTGAAGAAATGTTATGCCTAATGTCTAGGACTTCTTTTCCATTAAAGTCGAGGCTTCTTTCTATGAGATCCTAAGAAAGCACATGAGATTTGCTCTAACCCAAAATTCAAAGTCCATCATTTATACTTTGATTACAATTATGAAAAAATCCTTTATATCCTGTTGGAATTAATATAAGTAATAGGAAAATTTGACAATAACATAGTTATATAGAGATATAGATACAAAACTAACTAAAAACTAATTTAGCTCCTACATATACTAATAAAGTAGAAACTGAAAACCTCCTAATCCTAAAACTGATGAACGAAACTTTCCTACATATACTTCTACGTATAAATTGAGTTGAAAGTGAAGGAAACTTTATTAGTGTAATTGAAAGCGCTTGAAATTTTGGAGTTGAAAGGACTTGAAAAATCAATATTGTAAATGAAAAAAGAATAATAAAATGACTATTCCTAAAAAGTATGAATTAATTAAATAACTATTCCTAAATAGTAGGAAATTAATTAAATGACTATTCCTAAATACAATCAGACTTCTCTATAACAACATCCCTATATAACAATACTTCACTATAAAAGCTAAGTTTTTCTGTAATTAATTTTTATGTTATGTTATAATATATGTTCTATATAACAGCACTTCGCTATAACATCCAAAAATATTCGGAACAAACGAGGATGTTATAGAGAGGTTTGACTGTATTAGAAAAATAATCAAAAAACTATTTTACCAAGGCGAATTTTATTTTTTAAGGATAAAAAAGGCGAACGATATTTCGCTAACAGCGTTTGTGATTTTAATATATAGATAGAGAAAGTTGAAATTTATTTTCTTGACGATCAGTAAATTTGCGAGTGGTCACTGGACAATTTCCTTTTATTTAAACATTACACTTTAGTAGTAATAGAGTTCCCTTTTACTTCCCTTTTTTTCCGTTCGCTCTTTTGTAAAAGTGACAGCATTTGAAGCCATCATCATGAAAACTAATGATGCAAGTATGCAACTATAGCTAAAAGTACCACTAGATTTGTTTTGACGAAGCAGCCAATAATGAAGCTTTAATTAAACAACTTGTTTTTATTAATAAATAATTAGTTAGCCTTGCACTTTCTATTGGGAGATTAGTATCTCCAGAGATCTTCCGTTAGTGCTCATTTGGATAATCGTAGATAGGTCCCATCAAAGTCGAATTAACAACTTTAAAACTCACTTACTAACACATGCTCTTATTACAAAAATACTTAATTATTTTTCACATTCTACTAATTTAATTATAATCTCGAATGCCCGTTTGCATTAGATTTTTTTAGTAAAAAGCTACTCCAATAAGGAAATTGAAATAGATGTCTGCTTCTTTATCTTTTCATGCAGACGGCCATAAATTCTGTTAGATTGAAGCTCAATGAGCTATGGTGAAATCATTAAAAGAAAACCCTAGAAGGATCGAGAGAGAAGAGAGAGAAACAAGAGAAAGGATTTTGGAAAATAATATTTGATCTCTTTATTTTCTCTTTCCAGCACTATTTATATTTACATGAAAATTATAGAAAAATACACTAATTTTCTTTACAAAGAAAGACTGGGTCGGGTCACTCTGTTGGGTTCTGTTGGGCCAGCTGTGTGTGCTGTTGGGCCAGCTCTGTGTGCAGACTGGGCTCTAACACCCCCTCTCCCCCCCCCC